CTTGTGAATGCATATTTTGAAATTGGGAGATGAATATGGACTGTAGGGAATTGCATCCTATTCAAAATAAGCTTTAGATGGGTCATTTCTCATAAAGTATGAGAAAGTTATGCTTGGTCAAACTTGAGCTGACTTTTCCTACAAAACCCTAATTTAGCAACTTTTGAGTCTTGATGAATTATGATCAATCCTTGATGAATTATGATCAACCCTTGATTAAATGATTAAATATACTTAAAAATGATGATGTTGACCAAAAATCTTGAAGTTTGACTGTATGTGGGCCACAGTTGACTTTTGCCCTAGCACAATCGATTTTCAGGCCTTTGAGCAATTGACTGAGCAAACTTCCTCTGCAAGGCTTGAAACTTGACATGGATGATCTTGAGAGCATATTAGGACAATTTTGAGCATTTGGGGTCCCTTGGACTCAAGTATCTTGATGCAACATGAAACCCTAATTTGAGGTAGACTGCCTTAGGAGAGAGCTTGTCTGGCCAACCCTTGGACTACCTTGAGCAACTTGGGGATCTTTCTTGAAATGTTTTTAGAAATATGGGAGGGAAAATTTTGGGTTACAACAATGGCTAAGGCGTATGATCGTCTAGAATGGTCGTTCATCCGTAAAGTTCTGTCATCTATAAATTTTCCACCTTCTTTTGTTAACCTTATTTTGCAGTGCGTTACTTTTGTTTCTTACAAGGTTCTGGTGAATGGCCAATGTAGTCCATTTTTTGCTCCGGGGAGGGGTATCCATCAAGGAGACCATCTCTCCCCGTATGTGTTCATTCTTTATGCCAATGTCCTTCAGGCTTGCTGAAACGGGGTGTCCAGAACAATGACTTCCATGAGATCCGTGTGGCTAGGGAGGCTCCGGTCACTTCTCATTTATTTTTTTGATGACTTTTTGCTCTTCGCAAGAGCGAGTTATAATGAAGCAGAATGGATGTTGGGAGTTCCCAAGGATTATCAAAATTCTTCGGGACAAATGGTGATTTTGAAAAATCAGAGGTTTCATTTAGCCGCAATATTCCAGTTGCAGACACGAATTTAATTTGCTCAAAGCTTGGTGTCTAGATCACTTCTAATCATGCCAAATACCTTGGATTGTCGGTGATTTTTGGGAGATCTAAAAATGAAATTTGTGCCTTAGTTATGGAGCGCGTGTGGAAGAAACTCAAAGGTTGGAAGGAGAAATTCTTGTCTAAGGCATGTAAATAAGTCCTTATCAAGTCTGTTGCGTATGCAATTCTGGCATTCATTATGAGCTGTTACAGATTGCTGGAATTTGTCTGTCATGAAATTGAGGCCATTTTGGCTAGATTTTGGTGGGGAGCCAAGAATGGAGAGAGGAAGATACATTGGATGAATTGGGACAGAGTGGTGAAGAATAAGGGTGATGGAGGTCTTGGCTTTCGAGGTATTAGTAATTTCAATTCTTGTCTCTTTGTGAAGCATTATTGGAGGCTGGTGACGGATGAAAATTCCTTGATGGCTAGGTGTTCAAGGGTAGATATTACCCACGATCATCTATTTCTGAAAGCTTTTTGGGTTTTACTCCGAGCTACACATGGAGAAGTACTTTTAGTGCGAGGGATGTCGTGAATCATGGGGCCAGGTGGAGGATTGGAAACGACGATAAGGTTTCTATTTGTCATGATAATTGGTTTCTTGACAATTTTGGTTTCAAAGTGTGTGGTCCTCCTAGTGTGCTTGAGGCCAATGCTAAAGTGAAGGAGCTGATTCACAAAGACCTTGGTTGTTGAAAGTTATACATGATCTACAGGTGTTGATGCTAAACAAATTGTGAGTATTCCTTTATCAGCTGGAAACCTGGAATATTGTATTATTTGGCACTTTGAAAGAGATGGGTAATACTATGTTCGTACGATATAATGGTCATGTGTTATGGCTCGCGATATCTTGAATCCAGGCCCTTCGATGGCTTCCCATGGTCATTTATGGAAGCTGATTTGGAAGTCAAAAATCCATCAAAGGAACAAGAATTTCTTATGGATGACGGGCTCCAAGTGAGGGAGTTTGTCACCTTTGGTTGTATCATCAAGAACAAAGATGCAGATATCGTGATAGCTGCCAACCATAGGGAGTTTATTTTGGTCATGCCAGAGATTGCAGAAGCATCTACAATTAATTAAGGGATCAACTTGACCAAGTATTTAAAGCTGGACATAATTATCCTCCATTATGATTCCCTTTTGACGGTTGACTATATCAATTCTATTAAGGTTAATGCTATTTTAAAACCGACTGCGGTTGATTGTCATTCCATTCTTAATTGGTTTAGGTTTAGTTCTGCTCAGTTTGTTAGTAGAGGGTAATAAAGATGTTTATGATGTAGTCTGCTTGGGCAAGTATTTTGACTCCAAAACTTATATTGGAGGTTTTCCCTCTGCAGAAACTTCCTTTTTGTATTGTTCGGTTGCTTTGTTTTAATGATATTGTTTTCTTGTAAACAAAATATTTAACCAAAAAAATGCATAAGAAAGGGGGGAAGAAACACCAAACTCATTTCACTAGAGTCCATAAAATGCATGGATAAAATGTACTTAACAAAGCACTTGAAGTGGAAGCGTAGTTTCGAAAAATTTCATCTTTGAAAAGTTTTCATTTTATTTTTACTTTTAAGAGTATACCACGTGAATACAGGCATAAGAATCTCATTTCAAATATTGCATATATTTTAAAAGAAAAGAACATATATTAAATAGATTTTTTTTAGCAATAACCAAGTATTGAAAAAAAACACAAATAATCATGTTTTAGAGAAAATTACGCAAATAACCATGTTTCAGAAAACACTACAAGGGAGGCGCCGAGTGAGATGGTGCATGCTCTCACCTTTTTTCCTTAGGCGCCATCTCACTTGGTGCATGCACTTTGTTTTAGCCATGTGAGATGGCGCATGCACTATAAACAAGGGAGGAGGCGTCATCTGAGATGACTACTACGTGCAATTGTGTTTTCTATAAATAAAACACCCATTTCTCACCCATTCTTCACACTTTTTCACATTCTTTTCTTATTTTTATCTGTTATTTGCATCATGACATCTCCCATAATTTTCATCAGAGATGGATACATTATTTTCTAGACCTCCAAACCTCCGATGAAAAATGAAATTTTGGCACATTCACTCTATGGAGCATCTGAAGAGAGAGTTGATGCGATGGCTAGAGGGAGACATTGAGGTTGGGGAACAAATTAGAAGAAGAACAACCACCTCACTTGCAACTGGAAGAACTCAATCTTGGTTAGAGGAAGTCAAAACAGACAGAGACGTAATGGTAATGATGCATGGCTCAGATGAAATTGTTTTGACTGTTGTAATTTCTTAGATGTTTTATCGTGTTTTTATTTGTTGTTTGCGTATGTTTTGTTGTAACAAATACTCTTAATGAAAAAAGTTAGTTTAGAACTTAAAAAAGTGCAGATGGTCTGCGTACAATTTTTATGTTTTCGAGCTTGTAGCTTGAGTGGGACAATTTTTTCGATTGTGTCCGACCTGACGACATAAACCACACTTTCTTTCTAGCTTATCAAGGGAGTCCATTTTCGTTGTGATACGCTTGCTTTTGGGATGATCCTTTTTATTCCTTCATATTTGATCGTTGTGTCATATTATTTCCACGTCGTATGCAGGCCAATAATCAGGTTTCGCTACCATTGGGAAACCATTATTGTATACATTGAGCAAGGTTTCAGACTTGTAAATGAGAGATAGAAGTAGTAATGCATCTTGATGAGTATACGCACATGCTACAATGACATGACAGCAAGACATACGAAAGGCTTGAAACTTTCTACAATCGCACCAACGAAATTGTAGTATAACCCTATACTCTTGTCTTGACAGTCCCTCATTGTGCTCGATTGTCTCTTTTACAATGAATTTGTGGCTATGTCGGTCGAACCTTATAACAAGATGGGTGTTGGATTTGGCACTTTCTGCCTTAGTATACTTCATGCAACTTTCACTCCATAGTTGTCCCGATTGTAAGACCGCATTCCACATTTCATCTCTTTTTGCAAACAACAAAACCATCCTAAAATATATTGATTTCACCAATTTTATGGATCCTGAACGCATTGACTTCGCTGGACCATCGATCCAACCGCAACAGGAAAATCAACGAAACGCACCACGAGATAGGCCAGGACGCGGGTGCGGAATCATGGGTCGTTACCGAGTTCCGGAAGACAACTAAATAATATACATGTTTTTTTTCAATATGTAATTGTTCATTTGTTAATGAAAAATCAAAGTTTCATGAAACTACATCGTTTACTTATTATCTCATATTTAAAATAGAAAGCAAAAAAAATTATCTCTTAATTACACTTAGGCGCCATCTGAGATGGTTTAGGACAAACATGTTGCACATATGCGTCATCTCACTTGACGCCTTCATCTAAAATTAAAGTGCATGTGCCATCTCACTTGACATCTTCATTGTAGTGTTTTCTAAAATATGATTATTTGCGTAATTTTCTCTAAAATATAATTATTTGTGTATTTTTTTTCAATACTTAATTATTACTTAAAAAAAAATCTATTAAATAAATGTCCATGTATCACAACTCAATTTTTTTAATGACATTGACCCGCAATTTAAAAACTTTTCATTTTTATATTTTAAGCCAAAAGAAAAGACAAAAATCTACTACATGTGTGCAGTATCTTTAAAAATTATAAAAAAAATGTTATCATATACATAGGAATACAGCTGACAGTAGAAAAATTAAAGAATTTGTTGAAAGTGATTATCAAAATATTATATTATTTGCCAATGCATAGAGAAGACAAAGCCATGCTCCCATTTGTGGCCATAAATAAGACATTATTAAATTAGATAAAATGATTCCATATATATAAACTTATAAACAAAGCAACAAATAAAGGGAAATTTTAACAACCACATGCAAACATCACATTGCCACTAATTTGGTGCTCCAGAAAATTCTAACACCAAAACTTCAAATTAAGGAATCACCTTCTCATCTCTCATACAATCAATCCAATACAATATTGAATTCAAAGTCTTATACCTTACACCAAAACCATACTCATCAACTTTATCTCTACTCCCCATAAGCTTAAAAGGGAATCTAAATAAAGCATCTAAAAATTCCCAATTAACTAAATTTTCAACTTTTGTTTTCACCAAACCATTTTCCTCCACAATCTCTTCCCAAACATGTTCCTTCTCAATCATAGCTTTTGAATACCAAAAATCTCCATCAAACATTTCTTGAGGGACTATAACTCCTATCTTTTTTCCAACAATTGGCCAAATTTCTTTCCAAGTGAAACTTGGGCCATTGATTGAATTAAAAGCTTGTCCATTAGTAGAAACTATAACACTTTTTGTAGCTGACCAAATATGTTGATCAGCTACAAGCCTCGCGTCTGACCCATCAATGTAAGGCTCCTCCCAACACTTTTTTGTTCCACCAAACACAAAAGGGAGATTCATTTTTTTACAAATTGACCCATAAACACATAAACTTCCCATAAAATTATAAAATGATCTAATTGAATTTCCAAATAATAAACCAGGCCTATGCACTGACCAATAAACCTTGCCATTCAATTTCTCCATGAGCAAATCCTCTAATGCATAGTAGAAATTATGGCTTTTACTCATCCTTGGAAACTCTTCATTGTAGTACTTCACTTTCTTCTTTTGTTCATCAAAAGGGGCTTGAACTTGAAGTGATACATAGTGCTTTGTACCTGTTTGAAGTGAAACATGTTTTAGATTCTTTGCATTTGAGAGCAAAGAATCCAAAGCATTTGACATCATGGCTTTGTTTTGGTCACAACTTTCTTGTGTATCTAATGGAAATTGACTAGCCCATGTCACCCAAAACACATGTGTAACATCTTGTAATAACGATAACTTTTTTTGAGTCTCTAAAGGGTTAAGCAAATCACAAGAAATGAAATTGTAATAAGGGCTCAAAAGGGTGTTTGATACTAGTGTTTCTTGATTTCTAGCTATACCATAAACTTTCCAACAAGATTGGAAAATTAGTTTCTTAGCTAACTCTCTCCCAACAAGTCCAGTGACACCAAAGATTATGGCAACACTTTTTTTCTCCTTTGTAGCTGCCATTTTTTTAATGTTTGGATGATGATGATGATGAGTGTTGAACCATTTTTATAGGAATGAATAGGGTGCTTCATTATTTGTATTTAAAATTTGGTGTTAGTACAATAATATTGTGGACTTTTTCTCTTGTAAAATTTGACTATTAAATGCTCTTCTTTTGAGGAGTGTTTCTAGGCTGGCATAGTTATATGTAGCATGAAACTTGTGGTTGAAGATTAAAATTCCAACTAGGAGAGATGCTAGTTGTTGGCAAGATAAGAGACATGAATGTGTTATTTTATTGAGTTCTATAAAGATGGTTACAAATATGTACTTTGTGATTGAATAATAAAATTTGACTTAATTAACCAAAACCACTTTTGTTATTGGAGATAATTGGAGGCAATACATGGAGTTGTGAATTTCAAAACTCAACCCGCAGCCTGTGCCCTTGGCCGTTGCAATGTTGGCGCTGCGGTTACACCTAACTACAAGCAACCTATTTATATGTATTATTTTATTTATAGGTTGACTATGTATTCATGATTGTGATGTCAACATCTTCTAGGGGTTCGTTGAATATTAAATTGTATTTTCTCTCTGATAATTATTATAAGTAAATATTCTCTTTTTAAGTTTATTAAATAATTTATGTATCTAAATTTTATGTAGACTAAATATGTAAATATTTAATAAATTTAAAAAGAGAAATTTTGTTTATAATAGTGACCGGATGAAATATTTCTTCTAATATAAATTTGAACTCTGACTAATCATAATTATAGGACTAACCAGAATGCACTCATTCCAACTTGTACATGTAAGGTTAAGTATTTTATAACGAATAGTTAGAAAACTACAAAAATACATAAAATACTTAAAAACCAACCAACAATTTAGAAAATATATCAAATTTAAAAAAAAAAATTGTAAAAATATCTCTTCTTCAATCTTCTTGTTCAATCTTTTTTCAACCCTCTTCAATATTCTTAATTCTTCTTCTATTCAATAACTTGTAATTTTCACGTCGCAAATCCCTAACGGTCATAAAAGTTAATTAAGACGCCTACACCCACCTACGCCCAATCAGATTCAACTGAGTTTGTTTTCCCTCTTAAAAAGTTACGACGCGATATTTACGTCACAAGTTGAAATTTAAAATTTTCAAACTTCCCACCTTATATACGTTACCTGCTTTTGAATTTTTTATTTTATTTCATAGGTTGCGACGTGGGTATCACGTTACAAATATTTTTTTTAAAATACTCTTTGGCTTCCCATGTGCTAACGTTATTTTCTATATTTTATCATTAAAATTATGTAGTGACGTGATTATCACGTCACAACCTCACTTTTTTGCCGCGTGATAATCACGTCACAACTTCACATCGTTGGAGAACCCTTTTGTTATAGTGGAAGAGCTAATATTTGTCTATAAATATTAAAATTTTAAATATGTTTAATATACACACTTAATTAAGAAAAGTTACTTTGTACATCTTATTTTACATATTTTCTCTTTTAATAGTGGATAGTTATGAAATATCATGACTTAAGTCCATATGATATTAACAAACTTTAGTTCACTCGTCTCCGGTCACATAAGGTGCACATAGAGAACTTAAGGTTAGATGAAGTAGGGTATATGTTGAATTATAAAGGTGACATCGTCATGTCATCCTACATCTTCGGTGACGAGTCACCAACCACGTTGTCTAGTGGAATTAGGTGATGAGAGTCATAATTAAGATGTTAGACTCGATGGAGGGTATGTTTTCTTAGCCATGTCACTCAATATTTTTTGTGATGGCTTATTCACCACTTGGCCTGATAAAATATGATCCACAAATCACGCTTGAGATTATAGCCCTTAGCCTACACATTTAGTTCGGTCAGATGGGGGTTCTATATATCTAGCTCGAAGGTTAGGTCATGGTATCACTTTTTACATAAAACTACCTATTGACCTCTTGCTTAGCTTATAGCAATAAGGGCCATTCTTATTGTACTCACCACAAGTACAATTTGCGCTCATAGTGGAGTCTAGCAAAGTTGGTATGGACCACACCCTTTCTAGAGATTTCAATTAACCCAACCATTATTTGATAATGATGGACACAAGGGTTAAGAGCAGTAATGGTCGTCTAGAGGCCCTAGTGGAGATGCATGCCCCTATGGAAGAATTAAGTCACCAAAACCAAACTCTACAAACGAGCATTCAAAACATCTAGTAACAACAACGACAAGACGATGAAAACCAAGAAGGCGTAGATGTGTTGGACCCCAACCGCTGTCCATCTAGATTTAGAACTCCTTAGTTCTAGAAAATTTTAAGCTGCATTTGCAGTGACATTTGACAAAAAAGAGTGATCATCAAGAGCTTGTTACTGCCGTCAATACACAAATGGAAATCGTAGGTGCAACATATTCTCTCAAGTAAAAAAATATTTTTAGAAACCTAAAGGAAGCAATCTTGTGTTGGTACATGAACTTCATCAGGTTCTCTATAAAAAGCTATCAAGATATTTCTAGAAAAGTGATCCATGAATTCTTGCAAATCAAGCACCACACCACAAGCTTCTTTAATGTGCACTAGATACATTTAAAGTCATTACGTGAGTACCTGACATGCTTCAAAGAATTTTCCATCAAGGTGATAGTGCCATCAAACCTCCCAGATGCCCTATGATGAACTATACGTCGTTGAACATCGAGAGATAACAACTACGAAGAGAAATCTTTCACACCAAAGGCATACCAAAATCTCTAACCCCTAGGTGATAGTGAGCAAACACAACATATGGTGAAAATACTACAAAGTTAAAGGTCACCACACTAATGAATTCCACCAGCAGAAGAAAGAGATATAACTGCTCATTCAAGAGGGGCATCTTAGAATATACATGTAAGATGCATCATATAGATTTGTAATAAGGACATGACCTTTTAGGTAAGGGAGATCCAGAAGTTTACAACCTATAAGAGAAATGGAATTAGAAGAAAGAAATGAAGGAGAGCCCACTCACCACACACTTAATACAATCTTTGGTGCTTTTCATAAAAGATATATGCTCCACATGTCATTCATGTCATATACTTTCCCTTAAAGCCTCATTCAACTTTAGCATCTGAGGTCACCTTCTCGTAAAGAGACATTATTGGGATCATTCCCTATGAATACAAACACATGGTCATCAATGAACATATTTTCAACTGGAATGTAAAGAGAATACTCATAAATCTAGACAACTCAGCTACCATCCTCTATAGGGACACCTTTGAAAGATTACAACTAGATCCCGACCACTTGCATCCCTTTAAAGGCTCTTTTGTAGGATTATAATAGAACCAGTTTTAGAGTGGGCGAGAACTCCAAAACAATAAATGTTTAGATATTTGGTTATAAACGCTTCTTCATCTTACAAAATTAACATCAGTCTCCATGTGTTCAACGTACTAAAACTAATATTATTCATGCTCTACCTAGCCATGAAATATCATTTAGAAAATGGGCAAGTAGGCATGGTGAAAGGAGATTAAGAGGTAGCAAGGAAATGTTACCATGACAACCTCAAGGTAAAGAGGGCGATAAGATATGCATATTTGTCACCGAGGCCAAAGGCCCACAACATCAACTTCATTGATCTTGCACCAAGATAAGAGTAGTTGGAATTGTTCCCTATAGAAGACCTAAAAGAATTTCACATCGACTCTTAGAGCTTCCAAACTATAAAATTAGGCCCTTCCTATTTGTTGCGACCGGTTTTTAAATGAGAGTCTCCACTACTAGTTTTTTATCCTAAGAAAGGGCATCTAATAGGAAATCATAATTCGCAAAGACAAAGATTCTAAGTCTGGATTTCATTAGACGAAAGGAAGGTGTTAGGCACCATTCATCTACCTTGTTCACAAGGATATTAGGTTTTAGGTTTAGGTTTCAGGTAAATAGGGTTTTAAGTTTTAATAGGGGAACTCGCCACGATTTTTGATCGTATGCCTACGTATCCTCTTATGAGGAAGTAGAGTCTCAATTCGTAGTTCGTATGGGGTTGGTGTTTTTTAGGGGTTGAAAATGTATTTTGAATCGCCTCGCATTTGACCGGGTGTAGTGATTGTGGAGATTTGGACTAAATGCGCGATTAGTCAAAATTCATTTGGAACCCTTTGGCAAAAATAGTTTGTTTAGATTAATTTATTTGCAAAAAATAGTATGAGGTTTGTTAATATTTTTTATCGTATTAATTGCAAAAAATTTAATTAATGCATGATATAAAAAATATTTTTAATGCAATATAAAAAAAATGCATGAGTTTGAATAAAAATAATTTATTTACATGATAATAAGTAATAATATGATAATAAAATAAAGTACTAAACAATAATTATTATAAAAATAAATAATTATATTAATAATAAGAATAAAAAATGTAATATATAAAAATAGATAAAAATTATAATATATAAAAGAAATAAAAATAATAATTTAATTAAATCAAAGGGGGGTATAGTTTTAGTTATAGAGTAAAAGAGGGGGTGTTGAAAGTTGAGCTGGGCTAGGCCCAAACGTAGTTTTGGAATGGGGGGTGTGATTTGTTTTGTATTTTAGTAAAATAAGGAATGGGGGTGTCTAAAGAAATTGGGCTAGGCCCACTATATGCTATGGGAGGGGACCGGTTGATTTGGTGTTGCAAGGGAATATGGAACTTACGGTGGACTCGGCCTCTTGGCCGTCCATCGAGGATCTAACGGATGATCAGCAAAGAAGCGTGATAATTATGGTGTATGTGCATGTATTGGATCATAATGAGATTATTAACAATATTTTACTTTTTGTTTTTTTACTACACATTCGTTTTTGTTACAGGCCCCAACTTCTTCTTTCTCTCTTGTACCAACCACCATTTCACTCTCGTACCAACCATCCTTTCTCTCTCGTTTCGTTAACCCTAAATCCAAACACCCACCCTCGCGGCGGTGCTTGACAAGAAAACCCTACCCCCCACCGTGAATCAAACCCAAACACC